TATATATATATATATATATATATATATATATATATATATATATAATGCATATGTACGAGACAACTATGCGAGCAAAGAGGAAAGTTCAAAATAGACAAAGTTCGTCAAGAGAATGTTCGGAAAGACACAAACTCTACTTCTTCATAGTTCGATTGCCGCATATAAAGGAAAAGTTCTGATCTAATGGGAGAAATGTGGGAAATTTCCGTTACGTTTTAATCAAAGATAAATTATTTTATGAATTTAATAACACTTTTTCTCTTCAACAAAAATCTAACTTTTTTAACATTAAAAATATTCAAACGGATTTTTTGCTACTTTATAAGAACAATTAATATTCTGCCACTAATATATTCAATAAACTTTGTTCTGCAAAAATTTGATGTTAAACTTGATGGTCAAGGTGTTTAAATATTAAAAAAATACGAGATGCCACTTTTCTCACTCGATCTTTTTTAAAGAAAATTGATTTAGCGCTAAATTTAATATTTAATACTATAGGATTTAAATTAATGTTGTTTCTCTCTTTCTCTTTCTCAAATTACTAATAAAATAGATTTAATAAATTTTTAATTTAAATATTTTATTAAAATTAGTTATATATAATTATAAGTGGTAAAACCAAAAAAAAAAGATCAAGATGAAATTTAAGTTAAAAAACTACTATAAGATAATGATTTTCTCTTCTATAACATTAAAGGAATATTATCTTTCCGCATATTGTCTGATAATACGGAAATAAATTGTAGAAGTTGGTTGAATTTCTGACAGAGAACTCTATAATGAAGAATAGAAGATAACGTAGTCGAAGTAGGGCATTGCCACGAATATAACAAAAGGATGCCAGTAATGAATCGGCAGATTGTCAGTAAAGGATATCCCCAGAGTCCGCCTTTCGAACACATTAATGAGGATTGAATTCATTACTTGACAGTAGCTAGGTATCAATTAACGGAGAAAAAGCTCTGCAGGTCACTTTTACATCGCGAGCTGCCAAACTAGGACGATCTCGCTTTGTTTCGACAGACAATCATAATTGAAAGCAGAAAATTTCAAACGCACTAGGTGTCAGAAAACTATTTTTTCCTAATATTGGAAAAGACCTTTGAGGTCTTTATTTGTTGCTATCGCAGTTTCAACTTTTCAAAACTCTTCGACAATTTCAAGTATAAAAGATAAAAAGAAATGTAATTAGAATAAAAACTTTCCAACAGAATTTAAATGCTAGAAACTTGCGTAATTAAAATTTTCTACAAACTTTCTCTGGCGAGAAAAATATTTCTAACATTTTCACCGAGATACCATTCAACGCGTAATACAATTTTAATTTTATTTGGTTCCTTTCGACATATTCGTGCGATCTATTGTTAAGCAGGGAGACAATAGCAATGCTCTTTCGAATGTAGTACCGATATATTGAAGATATTTTTGAAAAGGTGCGAATAATACCTAACCGTATTCATAGCCTGAGTATCTTATAAACCCGTAGAATTTTATCTCAATCACAAATTCGAGACAACGAATACTTCCTCCGGGCCGGTAAATCCCAGCAATATCTTGTAAATATTACAATACGCTTGAGCGATTTGAAATGCATTACTCATCGACTATGCAGATGCAAAATATAGTGACACCTTAAAGAAGCAGATATCGATTTGTGCAGACTGATGAGTTGTTGAGTTGATGAGTTGTCGTGAATAAAACTAAAAAAAAAAAAAAAAAGGAAATCGCAATCACACCATCTCGCCCCACAAGAAACATTAATTTCCAATAATTTATGTAACGTATTATCTACACACGTCGCGAACTTGTCGTGTCGGCGCAATCAATTTACATTCGTCATAAATAAACTGCAATATATTCCGGCGATAATTAATGACAAACGCAACAATTATTTTAATATACATACGCGATACTCATGCTGTATCTAAAAACAAACGCTGACTGACATCGAAGAGAAACTAGAAAGATCATGCTCAATTAGAAATAAATTAATATTAATAATAAGCCAAAAATAAAATAATTTTTCTTAATTTTTCCTGACTAACAATAATTTTGCCTTATTTTTAAAATAATTTTTAGAAAATTACGACGAAGTACGAAGAAGATGACGAATATTTACTAAGTTTATCGTAAAGTAATAATACAAGCGTTTTTTACGATCTAAGTAAGCTGTACTAAGTCGTGGAATTCTTGAAGATAAGAAACACCGATTAAGATATAAACGTTTATTTTTGGAGTCACTTCGATATTTTTAATGACAATGTAATTAGTCCTTTACAATGGTAATTCTTGACAATTATTCACATCGCATCTAGCTAGAACTTTAAAAAATATAAAAATATAATAATTTAAATATTTCAAATATAGTAATTTAAATATTTCCTCTTTATTTCAATTTTGCGTAAATTATAATTATAATATAATTCCAATAATTCAATTTTTTTTTTAATTAATTATAATAAAAAAATTATTCCATATTGTTAGAATTACAAATCTAAAAAGTCTTGAGAAAACAAACTTTTCTCACTTTTCTTCACTGCAAAATTTGCAGTATTTTTTAATACATTTATGTCTAGGAACATTAATTAGTCTCTTTGACCTCGACACATTTCTCGCATATTTTTCTGATCGGTAACTGTCAAGCCTGACATGAATCCTTTTCCGTCATGGAGAATATACGAGATACTTTTCGCCAGGCGGGAACTATTTTTAGATCGCCGAAGAGCTCTCCATTTTGCTCAGCGACACTTCCACGAGAAGCTAAGGGAACTGGTAAATACCGGTATATACCGGCGTGCCACCCCGTATAAATCCCGCGGGTGCAATCCTGTAGGGGTAGTCCATTAGAACGCTAGTAGAACGAACGTGGACTCTGCGGGATATAACCGGGAAATCTCTTAGAAGGCACTTCAAGCGAGAGCGCGCTCATCCCGCGAACCAATTGGATAACGAGCGATAAAAATTTTTGAGATTTAAATAATCCGCAATGCGGATGAGACGTCCCGCGAATTAATATACTTCGTATTTATCCACCGGAAATTGCTTCTTCCGTATACAAACAAGCACTCCGTGGCCAAATTTTCCTTTTCTCTCGCGACAAAATTGTCTTGGGGAAAATAAGATCGCGCAGAAATTGCCGGTATTAAATTATTACTCGAAACTAAAGGCAAACAAGGGGAGTTTTGTCATCGTGTAAAATATCGTGGTATCACACTCGCTCTATTATGATGTGCTCTTTCAATTATTTCATACCGCTTTCAGATAGAGACACAATCGTAGCGTCTATAAAACGGTTAATAATAACGCTAAACATAAAAAGACTTACGTTTATCTCCACCTTTTATTTCTTCGGGTTTCCTCCGGGCGTCTCTTCTTCAAAAGCTTTCTTCCTTTCCTCTTTTCTCCCCGAACGAAATTTCCCAGAACGGTAATTTCTCGCGCGAATTCAAGCAGCACGACGCTCAGTTCAAGCTACGAAATTTGTTCTTTTCTCACAAAACCGAAAGCCATGACTCCCGAACGACATAACGATCTGGAAAAACAAACCAATCGCAATCAGAAATTAGATTAGATTAGATTATAAAATTCCTCGGAAATATTATTTATCTGTAGTGTATAATAACTGAAGAAAAAAAGAAAGTATGTCTCGAGTACAATATAAGTTTCGATAACGTTACATCGATCTTATCTGCTAAATCTTGCGTATAATTTTTTTCAGGGAGGCTTTTTTTATATTTGTATAAAAAAACAGATATATATATAAATGCAACATACAAACAACATGGTGCAATATTAGAAAAAAATATTTCCAAAAATTGTCACAGCGCAATAAAAATTGCGCAAAATCTTCCATTCATTTTAGAATACACGGGTCACATATATACGCATATAGTTGCAGCATATCGTGACTTCAATTTTATTGAAATGACTGATATCGGTTGTATTGATTTCTCCTATTGAAAAACCAATAGATAAGCGAGTAGATAGATATTTCGAATTAAATAGATGAGGAGGAGACGATACGTCTCTCTTCTGTGAAATATTTAACAATTAAAATCCTTCTTTGTTTCTCTTTCTAAAAAAATATACGATACGTCGTTTATAAGATTATTCAACAAAATTGTTCGAAAATTTTTAAATGTGACCTGGACAAAATTACGAACTTGAAACTTGATTCGAAACAACAAATACGTCCTTCTTCTATGAAATATTTAATAATTAAACTTCCTTATTTCCTTCTCTTTCTAAAAAAATACACGCGATATGTAATCGTTTAGGACATTATTATATAACAAAGTTGCTCAAGAATTTTTTAATCTGATTTAGGCAAGATTATTCAACAAAATTGTTCGAAAATTTTTAAATGTGTATTACAAACCTGAAACTCGAATACTAATTTTGAAACAAACGATTCGAAGCACGTAGCCGAATTAGTAGAAACGAATGGGCGCCTCCTCTTCCGAATGCGTTCTCCAAGTTGACAAGAAGCGCTTTATTCAGTGCGCGGTCGATTTGAGGCGAGGAAATGGGAATCAAACGACAGACACCGAGACTTAATGCGATACGTAAGAGGACTAATGCGCACAGATTTGTTGAACCCTCGTCACACAAAACAAACACAGATACGCGACACACATGCGAGCGAGTCCTCCGCGCGCATTCGAGTGCGCGGCGAAACAAGTTAATTAAGAGGACCATCCACGGTAGTATCTTCGTTCCTCAACTCGACGTTCCACGGCAAGATTGGCAGCATGCCAAGTCGGTGCTCGAGAGTTGATTTTCCGCTTTCGTATCGTCTTCGTGCGCCTCAACGTTAACACCTCTCGGAATTGAGTGCCGATTTCCTTCTCTTCTCGATAATAAGAAAGTTACAAAATTCCCATTTCAATTGCCGTTGATTAATCTGACAGATAGAGAGAGAGAGAGAGACGATTCGCGCTTATTAATTATTAATTTCTCGAAACGAGGATTTAAATATTTTGTGAAACGTAGCGAATATAATTTTAACTACGTTAATATACGAAAATGATATTTTTCTGTGCGAATTAAGTAAATAATATCTACCTAGACGTTTTTATTTAACGCTTTGAACAATCAACTAAATAGCATTTTAATATTAAATGGCCAATTAGCTGAGAATAGAAAATACCAAAAATAATTTATAAACGAAATTAAAACTCGAGAAAAACATATTTTGCATGCACATATAAAGCATCACGTAAACAATCATATTTATATTTCGTTTATAAGAAAGGAAGTCAAAACTACGTCCTGGCTTCTTGTAAATTTCTTCTTTATTATTTCCATATTCCATGCTCCTCGGTCTTCTTACCTCCGTCCTTATTCTTCACTTATGCAT